TAGTGGCTTTCATTTTCAGTTCATTTTCATTTTTAAGAAAAAACATACAGTAAGGGCACGAGAGAAATACAATCAAACAGACAGAACATTAGCAATTCTCAAAACTCGACGAGATGACGATAATGCGAAACAAATCACTGTTTAGTGGTTCTCCAAGGTTAAAAACAATGTATAAAAACACTTTCATTTCTACTACTTTGCTGTATAAGTGACCCAATGAGGCTCAAGGGGAGTTCTAGTGAGAAAAAACAATTTGATACTGTGATTCTAACACAAAAAAAAAATTAGAAAGAAAACCAATAACCCAATGCATCTATTTGTATACGCAGGTCTTCCTCTAATTAAATGTCCTGTAATTAAGTTCCATTTTTCTGTGGTCCCAAATTAACAAATGTATTCTATATTTATTATTCTAATTCGAGACCAAAGCTTCTAAAGACCATGAAAATCCTGGTCGAAATAGTGGTCTTTATTTTGTGGTAATTCAATTATATTGTAATATTTAACTGTGTATAATGGTTATGGTATATTCTTCTTGCCACAAACGTCGCTCGAGTCAGAGATGTCGAGCCTCTCAATGGCTTAGTCTTTGATTAAGATATTGAAAACGAGTACAACATTTGGAGACGTTCATTCCGATGCGTGGGGATTTGTGGAAATTATGGCAGATGCCAAATAATGTTTGAAAACGAACAATTAATAGCATCTAATAACAGACATGAATTTCTTGGTTACGTAATCGTATGTTGGGGTGAAGATAAGTAAGTCAAATCTAAATAGCCAACCAAATTATAACAGCGTTCGAAACACGAACTGAAAGTTTAAACAATACGTGTCTGAATGGTACCGTTGCTCCCGACTGTCATTAGATGAAAAAATGTACAAAAAGACGTAATAAGGAATCCACATTTTATAACCTAACAAACGAAGATTATTATTATTAAACAATATGTATTTAAAAACTGTGGCGTATCTAGAGGCGTGCATTTCCTAAAAAAAACGTTTTACCCTACTCCACCCCTTCAGCTATATGACCATAAGCTCCGCCAACTGAAAGTGAAAAAAAAAATACCAAAAATTATGAATATAAACTGCTTTTCCCCGGTAGCGCCCTATCACATTCTCTTGCTTTCCCGCAAAGATATTATTACTACAGGACTAATGCATTTGCTTCCCTACCCAACATCAGTCCCGCTTGTTGACACCCTTACCCATGGGTATCGTATGCCACTGGTTTACTAACGGGCATGTTTTTTTTTTTTTGTTTTTTTGTTATTCGGCAACGAATAATCCTTCTAAAAATATAATAAACATAATTTGTTGTTTTAAATTTCAGATGTCGTGTTTTGTTAAGCCTAATGTGATGTTACCGTAAATATTTTTTTCTGTATGTTAAATTATAAAAATAAATTACATATACCACGAAAGTACTTAAAGATACATTATCGAAATCTTCCGATGGCGTTTTGCGTCAGGAGAGATAAATAATAAACATTGATGTTTGCTCTACTTGACGTGTGGAGCGTTGTGGTCTAGTGGTCAAGACATTAGACAAGTTACCAGGATGTCGTTGGTTCGGTTCCCACGTCAGGAGGGCAAACACCATTTCGTATTATTTCTCTTGACGCAAAACACCATCAGAATTATAGCATTGCAGTGCCCGCTCCTACTTGGGGAATAGATTCATAACTCCACCAAGCACAATGTCGGGGTGGTCTAGTGTTTAAGATATCAGGTTATTATTTTTTTTTTGTCGCAAGTATTTAGGAATGTACTGAGCATGCACTACTTATATCACACGTCAGGTAGGGCAAACATCATTTCGTATTATCGAAGTGGTAATGTTAATAGGCAAAGTGGAACTTATGGATGAAATTATATTAGTGTTAATGCTTAATAAAACTATTTACACACTTGCAGTCTTGAACTCTTAGCGCCCTCATTGTTATAATCCGCTCTAATCTCATCCCTATGCACAAGAACACGCACCTCTGCTTATCTTACCCACACAAAGTAAAGTCCAAATACTGTAAGTATGATTATGACAGAGGTGTTAGGTCAGTTTCTGGTTCTCTTTTGGGGCAGTCTTAAAAAAAAGTGCGCATCTACTCAAATTTTGGCAAGTCTATATCTTTTTAAATGTTCAGATTGTTTTGGCCAGTATACAGTGGCGACGTGACTACCGAGGTTAAACAAGTTTATTGAACTTGGACCCTGGAGCTCCAGGGGATCCGATCTATTTTCTTCCTTCCAGCCAAGTGATTTTTAAACCACAACAATTTGTTTCCTTTACACCCATATTTTTGCAATTTTTCTAGTAGTAATGTACGATTTATTGTGTCAAAACACTTTACATTATCAACAATTACAAAGTACAAAGTACTGAAATTTACACAAGTCACCACCAACCATCGTGGCGCTGACGTGCTGTGCACTCGCATTTTATCAGCGCCCTCTTCCTTAAATTCTGGATACGCTAATGATGAATACCATATTCTTTTGAATACTGCCAGATAAAAGTCCCGAACAATTTAGTGTGGGAATACAATTTATGTTTTTCCATTCTTGATTTGTCTTCTTTAATTGAGTTTAAAATTTCTGGGTTTTTTTTTTCCAGATTGGATGAATATTGTTTGAATATTTGTTTTTCCCTATAAGTTTATTCATTTCATCCCACAAACGTTTTGAATCGTGTTTAAGTTTGTTTTCAACAGATAACAATTAATCTGATTTGGATTTTCAAATTTTACTCGTGCATTTGTTTCTAAGTGAAAAAACGATATTTATTAAAAGGTGTTTGGCTTCCAAGTTTATCGGATAAGTGTTACATTTTCACGGTCATACATCAATCTAATGATGTAAGGAGTGATCCATTTCATCTTATTTAGCTAAAGTAACATAATATACAGCTGTTGACATTGTTTAATGGTTAATCCGATAAATAAAAAGAAAACACCAATTTAATAAATATCGAATGTGCTTTTCTTTGATTCATAAGAAGTAGAAATGCTTGTTATTATGATTAGTCCAGCCAATAGCCGGCTCTTCAAAAATGCCCTTTCAGAACATCTCAAAATTAAAAATTTAAAAAATCGAAAGATTTATTGTCAAAATAGTATTAAAAAATCGGAGACCCCTGCTCCTCTAAACAATCGGTGGTGCACATCTTAGTTGACATGGTCAGTGAATTTTCATGCGTCAAGGGCCCCGACTGTACTCTTGATCCAGGGCTCCTCACAACCTAGTTACACCACGTCAGTATGGCATTATACAATTGTGTGGGTCTATTAAAGATTCTATTGCTGCAGGAGACAACATGGGTCGTAACATTTACCAAAAAAAAAAAAAAAACCAATATACCCTCCACTATTATTATACAAAATAAACTTTATCTGCTATACAACACAATTGGTGTTCAAAACATGTTTATTCGTGTACATAATGAAATTATTATAAATACCAAAAATCCCAAAGATGAAACAGGTACAAACTCTGTTGAACACAGATAGATATTTTTGTGCAAGTCTTTCTAAATTGTTTTTGAAGGTTTATTTTAATGTATTTTTTTTACTTTTGACCTTTTAATATTAAAATTAATTATTATATTTATTAAATATTTGCTTAAACACGACCATTCTAAAAACAGACTGTTAGAACTGAAAATGTATCCCCCCAAAAAAAGGTTATAAATAATAAAAATAAATATATAAATAAAATAAAATAATGTAAATATATAGGCTCATTGCTATGCCAGTCAGTATGAGAAACCTCAACTCTATATATTCCAAGCTCATAACCCATCACCTACACACTTGTTCTAGACATACATGCATTCAATTGACTGTGTATATAAGGTTAATAACAATGTTTAAGAACTTAAGTCCTTTAGGCGTTCTGGAGCCAATTATCAGGCCTGTGTCGGTTCTCCACACCACGAAAAAGCTACTGCTAAAGTAGGCCAAAGCCTATAACAATTACCACCATCAATAATATGACACAAATTGCTCAGTTAGAAAAAAAAAATAAAATAAAATAAATAACTAAATAAATAAAATAAATGCTAAAAAACAAAAAACTTGAAAGATGACACAAAATCGACCGAGAGGGCAAGAGCAATGGCGTATGGAAAGGGGAAGGGCAGATATATGTCTTTCCAAATTTATTACTCGCGCCTCCCTGTCGACAACCATCCCAAGAAATTACGGTTTAGTGGTTAAGAATCATATACAATCACCTTATTTGGCGAATTAGCGCCGCTCATCTGATCACGCCACTGGGAAAGATAGAAAATAATAACCACTTAAAGTCTTTCCACAGCAAACGAAATTATTGTCAATGAAACTGTAGTAGCCACTGTCGACCTTTGATCTCTTAAGTGGAGCATTCGGGAGGAAAATAACCAAAGTAGGCCTACCAAGATTATTGAACTTAGGTCTACAGGTTATATTATATTATATTATATTATATTATATTATATCATATTATATTATATTATATTATATTATATTATATTATATTATATATTACATTATATTATATTATATTTACTGTAGTGTCAAATTACACATTAAATTAATAAAGGATGGGATTTATTATTGGTGTGATATTTTTCAGAAATGACGATTAATTTAATTTAGGAATTAAAGTGTTCTTTCTACAAGTGCCTTTAATTATGGTGTTCTGTTATTTGTATTTACACTTATTCCAAAGTCTACATTTTGCATGAATTTTTAAACAATAGTTTTAACCCTTAAAGTTTAATAATACTTTCATACCAAATGCAGTTAACCACGAACATTTTTAACAATCTAGATTTAATGGACCATTCGTATAATTAACAACACAATTCAGGTGTGGAAGGCGTCTCTCCGAATACACTACTAACCATTACCATTACATATTTTAGTTGACTATTGGAAGAAATCGCAACGTTAACAAAATCGCAACGTTAACATACTAGAGGGTAAGTGAGGGAAGCGAGCGCACACTTATTATATGTAGTATTGTGAATTCATACTGAGTGTATAACATTACCAGGTTCTTAACAGATGTATATGCAGCTTTGAATTCTTGTGATGCTGAATCCTGTAACGATTCTGAGAACTGAGCTTCACCATCACCAAATAGAGAACGAAGGTGGGTGAGTCGGATAGATGTTTTGAAACATTGTCCCACTAGAAGAGAATTTTGAGAGTGAAAGTAATGAATAATATTTATTTCAAGATCACATTTTGGTATTTCAAATTCCAAACATATACAATATAAAAATATGAATAAATTGAGATTTCGTATGGAAAAAGATAAAAGGAAACATAAATACTCCCTAGAAAATTGTGTCAACCAAAAATATTGAGACTTGTTTTTTGCACAGTTCAATATACTTCACTCTTTTTCAAAATGAATGCTTGTTAACTGTCAACTGTCTGACCTCCAAATAATATAATAATTTTAAATTCCACACCCACACAAGTCATGTCCAAAACATCAATAGCTGGAACTTTTTAATATACTCATATTCTACACATAGGAAGTTTTCAATTATGCTATAATTAAAGTTTGAAATATTTCAAGCATAATTATATTTTTGTTGACCAAAAATTTTGGTATAATTAACTTGAATATTTTCCATGGATGTCCATTGACAGTTAAATACTAATATCATGCGCAAATGTGGGAGGAAAGTTTACTAATAAATAGTAAATAATTATCTATCTTCCAATAGATTGACATTGGCCATGGTATACTTATAGAAAAGGATCATTGATAGGGAAGAAAAACAACGCACATGTGGAACATCGGTAGAGAAATAGCATTTGAATCCCATCTGAATTACTGCCATAACAGGTAGGTAATTTGTTAAATAAGTTTGTGTTTTACCATTTAAATGAAGATACTTCATGCTTATGTACTGTAATAAGGGATTTATATTTCAAAAGATAAATGGTACATCAACATGTAAAGCTTTTTTATTTGGACAATGATTTTTTGTTCTTTAAATTTTAATCCGAAAGTTTGCATTGTAACTTTGTAACCAATTAATAACCATCTAAAGGGAGCCCGTCTTTATTACTGACTTAACCTACACAGTAGCTACATCTTACTGTATATGTTCTGCATAGCACTTGAAGGAAGAAACTTTAATATTAGACAGTAAATGAAGAAAATATTTTGCAACTAGTGGAATACTTATATTAAAATTATATTTAGATTTTGTACAAGACAACAAATATGAAATAATACTTTTATTGGACCACTACTTTTAAGGTATCTGCATTTTATTCTTTAGAGATTAACATAACTAATTTTAGACATTGCACCAAAATTATTAAAATTCATCCTGCTCTTAGTGGTTGCCTGTTTATGAGTTTTCGATTTAGAAGCCTATAAGAGTATTCAAATTTTTTGCATTTTTTTTACCCCCAGATTTCACTGATAAACAGTATCCTGTGGCATCAACCACTCTTTTGAGGCAGTCTCTGTCAAACAGAATAAAGAAAATGAACAAGCCTAAAAATTGGGAATACCATGTATGCATTTTTTTTTTTTTTATTTTGTTATTTAACTTTAATTCCAAACTTCGTTCTAGATTTGTGGTAGTATTTTATTATATTTTATGTTTCAGTGTGTAGGCCGTCTTAAAGTTAGGCTCAGAAAAGTTGGTTTTTTTTATGTTGTAGAATTGAACTAATTTTTTTAAAACCCACAAGAATATTTGATGAAAAACTTTGAAGCGGTTATTAAGATTCAGATTTTTTAATATTTAAAAACTGGAGGAAAAGAGACATAACCACCCGTTTTCCCTTCTTACTTTTCCCCAGTTTTTAAATATTCAAAAATATGTATCTCTCTAATTAACTGCTTACAAGTTTTTTTTCAAATATACTTTGAGGCTTAGAATGATTAGTTCTACAACATATCAACAAATGTATGTCCTCCAGAGCTTGGCTTTATTAAATAGAAATGCTACTTCCACATCAATAATTATATCTACCCTTGTCATATTTTCTTAAAACATAACATTCGTTTAAATATTTTTGTCTTGCCATATTATTGTATATACATAAAATCAATATTTTCTTATTTATGTGGTCAGAGTAGCAATTATTTCAGTACTGTATTTTGTAGCTCTCTGTTTAGTACCTGAGTATATTTTTTCTTTAAAGTTTAAACTTAGGGGCCAATAAAAATTATAAACATAGTGTATTAAAAGTGTACTCTTTTTTGCCACCTCAACCCCTTTAAAAAGTGTACATTCATGGAAAATGTTGATTTTGCAATACTGTTCTCTATGGCCTTTTTTTCAATGGGTACATAGATACATAATTAGGTTTAAATATATCCATATTGGCATTTTATTAAATTTCGAAAACCGATTTAAATCAATATTTTAAGCTTTTGTAAATTCCTTTCATTTAATTTTGTATTTAGTACCAGGCCCTTTCCCCCTTTAGCATACTGTTTATACATTTGTTGATAATTATGAAAGAGCCATAGAGTGCAGGGTTATCCACCTTATGTTTTGAAATTTATTTTTTGAGTCTTTCACATCTATTAAATTTGTGTAAAGTTAAATCTAATACTGTACTGTAATAGTATATAAAAATATATAAAACTTTTTCTTTCATCTACCATTATCAATATTGCTTACATTACCTTAATGTTATTTAATATATTTATAATATTTTATATAGGCCTGCAATTTACTGTATATACAGCTATTATATACTGTAAAATTATTTTTATAAATCTTTATATGTTTGCACAATACCACTAGTGCTACATCGTGTTACTTCATAATGCTAGTAAAATTCAATGCAGTTTATTCTTTTAAGATATTGAATCCAGTTTTTTTTTTTTTTCTACTTTTAGATGATGCAATGCAAACATTATTTTAGTTTGGTTGTTTGACCTGTTTTCTAGATAAGTGCTGTGAATTTCTATGAAAATTAATTTTATCAGCGTTATTTTCTATAGAAATGCTGTTTTTTTCCTATAGAAAATATAATATTCATTTATCAGCATTATTTCTATAGAAATTCTGTACATTTCTATAGAGAATAATACATTTTTCCATAAAAAATATATTATATCTACAATATTTTCTATAGAAATGCTGTTATTTTCCATAGAGATTTATATAGTTTTCTATAGAAAAAAATTATATCTACAATAATTTCTATAGAAATGCTGTTCTTTTCTATAGAAAATAATAGTTTTCTATAGAAAATAATATTATTACAGCGTTACTTTCTATAGAAATGCTGTTCTTTTCTATAGAAGTATTGTGAATTTCTATAAAAATAATAGTTTTCTATACAAAAGAAATTATAGCAGCGTTACATTCTATAGATTTGCTGTTATTTTCCATAGATTTACATAGTTTTCTATAGAAAAAAATTATATATTTGCAATAATTTCTATAGAAATGCTGTTCTTTTCTATAGAAGTATTGTCAATATAAATAAATAATAGTTTTCTATAGAAAAGAAATTATAACAGCGTTACTCTCTATAGAAACACTTGTTATTTTCTATAGAAATGCTGTTAATTTATATAGATTATTATAGAGAATTAAGCCACTTTTCTTTAGAAATTGTATAGAAATCCTTTAGAAATTGTATAGAAATTCTTTAGAGATTGTATAGAATGTTTTTATATGTGGCAAAGACAAGCAAAAATCGATTTTGAGTTATTAATACAGTGTTAGAACGTAAAATAATAGCTATAAAATGAAAAAATATCATTCAAATCGGACATTTCCTTATGAGGTTACAAGCGTTTAACCACACAGCTGTTTAAAGAACAATACATCAGAAATTAGCCGTCAAAGTTTATGCTTTCAGGCATTTATCATGCAGAAACTGTCTTCAAATCCTTAAAAAGTATTGTTTTAACATGGAAAATTGAGAAAATAACAGCATAGAATGATGTGTAGATATATAAAGGTTAGTTTGGTGCAATAAAATAGATTGTTTAAAATTTGACATTCCAGCATGTTTTGGCCATTTTCTCTTAAACACGATTTGCGACGAGTGACTGGTTTGGCTTGTCTTTGCTACATATACTTTCTATGGAATTTGTTCGAAATATTCTATAGAACTTATATAAAATTTTCTATAGATACTCTATAGAATACTATATAGACAATCTATAGAATTTTATTTATAGAATTCTATAGAAAATTTGTGTATGGGATAGTATATATTCAGAAGAATAAAACGTGTATTCGAATAAAAAAAACAAACAAAAGGAAACATAATACTCCCGAGACTAGGGGCAAATATATTCAGAAGAATTACACGTATAAGGGAGTGGCAGAGCCCAAACAATGACAAAAAGTAAACAGTCAAGAAGACACAAATCACGAGAACACAGACACAAACGTTACCAGTTAATTTCACTTTTAGCATCTGATAAATTATTCCTGCTAACATACCCAATCAGAGCCTAAATGCTGTAAATTTAAATCTTAAGTAACGGGGGACTCGTCCAAGTGGGTTCATGTTTGTGGAGGAAAATGCTGAAAGAAGGGATTATTGCAAGTTTGGAGATTGTTGTGCCGATAATAATAAAAAAAAAAACCAAATAAACAAATAAGAGCCAGATGCTCCGGATTGCAGGATTTTATTGTTGATGGTGGCTAATATATGGTGTGTGCATGGAAGCTTCTTCAGGAGGGCATACGTAATCTGATCCGGGAAAGGTACAGACTTGTTGCTTTTCCTTTTTTTTTAATAAACAAAATCCTTTTCAAGATATTTTTTAACATCTTTGGATTTGATTGGGTACATATTAAAAGAGTTGATCGGGTTGTTTCCTCAGATCAGGCATCCAATTGAAGTTATTTGTTTCGATATGAGTTTATTTTGAATATATTCGCTTATAGTATTCATCAGCTCTTTTGAGAAGGTATAGCATTTGGCTGCAAAATAAAGGGTGGCGTTGAGCTGATCTTGTCTGAACTTTTAGCCTTGTATTATACTAAAAATGTGCTATTTTCTGTTTTTTATTTTATTTTATTTTTTTTTATGTGAGAATCGTTTTTTTAACCTTCATATAGTCGTAGGCTGTAAGAGCTTGGAAGAATTGTTTCTTATCTTCAGATGTACTATCATTCCAGAAAGCCCTACGACTCAGTGTATTTATTTAAAATCGTAACTTGGTGGAGCGTCTTGGTATCTCGGTGGATAAACTTTCTAGTATCCTCTCCAGATTCTCTCGCTTATATTCCTCCAATATTGTGGAGTCCAGCTTTCTGAGGCATAATGGTGACACTGGCGAGAGTGCGGTGCGTCTGTGTCAGCTCGTGTGTTATTGCGAGACTCCAATAAGCATAGGCTTGATGAGAGCTGAGATACGACGAATTGAACAAAGAGGGCGGTGTTGTACGCCTCTTGTAGCACTCGGAAAGATGATACCGAACCGTACAGGGGTAAGCAAGCAGGCACAGTGAACTAGGTGGGCCTAGACATTTCAGATACAAAAGCAGGCAAGCACAGAAGTAAAAATGTCATAAAAATTAATAGTGTCTTAAGAACAACAAAAACAAGAGGGAAACAAGAGGCAATTAGCACTTGAGGGCATAGGTAAATGAGGAAATACTAATGATAAAAATAATAAAAATAAAAATAATAATAATAATAATAATAATAATAATAAAAATAATAATAATAATACTAATAATAATAATAATAATACATAATACATTATAATAACAATAACAACAACATCACCCTATCTTCGAAATAAAATAAATTGTTTTAAGAAATGCCGTGTATAAAACGTTATGACAAAAAATTACACATGAAATGTAGCTCACCTTGATCGCAGGTGGGGCCACTATAAGGGCAGAGACACGCACAAATCCCGACGTAACATTTTGCACCATTACTGCAATCCGCATTCACCATACAATCATCTGAAAAAATACAAAACTTGTTAAGCCAACCTGCTGTGTAGTCACGTTTAGATTGAATCCACTTTATTACTACTGCGTCAATAGCCCTAGAAGGCACACATTAAATGGCCTACAAGCTCTATGGAGTTGTTTGATGCTTCGTTAGCTTCTAAAGATTCACATGTAGTTTTGATAGTATTGAAATCTCCTCACTTAATATTGGTACATGGTAGTCGTTTAGTTGAAGACAACGAATATGGAAATATATATAAGATGAACAAAAACACATAGTCCTAGTTTAGTAGAACATATCCAATAACTTAATTCAATTAGTTTAGTTATTGTTTAGAACTCTCTTACCTTCCATCGGCTGTACGTCCTTAATTCTTGTCGTTGTTGGGTCTGATGTTGTAACATCCTCACGGCCCGTTGATCCGTGGATCGATGTTATAATGTCCTCGAGACGTTGTTCATAACCTTCAGTTGTATAAACAAATGGTGTGGTAGCAACAAAGTTTGGGTCATATGGTACGTATACTGAAAACACTTTCTCGATACTACATGGCTGTGCTGCGTTATCCGAAGCAATAACCTTGATTGCATGCTCTCCTGACTGAAGATAACTAGAGACAGTTATTTCTCCACTATCCGGATCTATTTCAAATATTGATTTTGAATTGTCGCCCTCAACCATAATTGAAAACGTAACATATCCGTTTTCACCACTGTCTGAATCTTTTGCTGAAATATTTGTAATAACTGTCCCATTAGTGGTGTTTAGTGGAATAAGTATGTCTGGAAATTCTCCTACGAATTCGGGACAGTTGTCATTAATATTAAGTAATGTGATGTTAATAATAAAATAATCATTCATAGGTGGAGATCCATTGTCCTCAGCAACTACTGACAGAGTGATATCTGAATTTTGGCTTTCATAATCAAATTCTGCAGCAGTAAATAAATCTCCATTTTCCTGATTTAAGGAGAAAAAGCAAAATCCTTCAGAAGGAAGAATACGGTACCATACATCACCGTTTTTTCCCGTGTCGTTGTCACTTGCATGTACTGTTAATAGATACGTTCCAATAGTGGTATTTTCAGCTAAAGTGATATTCAACTCTTCATAATCAAACTTCGGTTGATTTTGGTTCTCTTGTGTGATATTCTGGCAAGTCTCTCCTTCAAAACCTACGTAACATTCGCATGTTTCTAGAGCAACACAATCTCCACGTCCATTGCAATTGCCAGTACAAAAGGCACGGTCACATTTTTCACCAAACCAGGAAGAATAGCATTCGCACACTCCAAATGAATTACATCGTCCATTACCTTTAATAGAAAGTTAAAAAATAGTAATGTAGAAATTTATAATAGCCTACATTGACTGTACTTATGAATAAATATGGCGCCTCATGGTAGCTTATTTGGAACATGGCAATCCTTATGATCAATTAATAGAAGTCAACTTACCGGAACAAAATCTGAGACTTTCACATGAAGGAGATAAACAATCAACGCCAGTATAGCCAACATCACACACGCAGAGGTCAGGTTCAATGCAATTTCCATGTCCAGAACAATGATTGACAGATTCACAAGAAAAAACTGTGCAATTTTCTCCCGAATAACCTGTAAAACACCTGCACAAACAAATACAATGGTTCTCTTTACTGTAATTAGAATTCTGGAAACGTGAAAGTTTCCAGCGATCAAAGGAACAGAACAGACTACCAATGAATGACAGTAAAGATTTAAAGTTATCAGTATACCTGAGTGGGTGTTTTATAACAGAGGAATTACTTTCAAATATTTTGGATTCTGATAGTGTTGGTGATAGTGATTACGGTCATAATAATAATGATAATGAAAGCATGCACAAATATTATTTTTTAGGAGATTTATCGCCTGCAATTTGCACTTCGGTACAAAACGCACTGTCTATGATTCGTACTGAAAACTTCCGGGCACACAATGCGATGCGATTTTTTAATGACGATCCGCTCTGACAGCAACCAACAATAAACGGACGGCGTCCGTTACTAAGCGTACATAAAGAGTGGAAAGGGATTCTTTGACTGACGGCTATACAATGCAGTGTCTGTCAGGCTTAAGTAAGAAAATGTGGTAGGCCTACTACCCAGAACTTACTCGCAAGAAAATGTTCCATTATTTATGGATGCATCTTCAATACAAACACCATTACCATTGCAGTTGTCCAGAATAATGCATTCAACAGATTCACTGCAGTTAGCTCCTTGATATCCGACGTAACAACTGCATTCGTTTGGCCCTGTACATTCACCCTGATCATTACATCGGTTTCTTTCAGAGCAGTCAGGCAATGCACAGGATTCACCAGTCCAACCGACGTTACACATACAAATGTCAAAACTTATGCAAGTGCCATGTCCTAAATCATTATTATACAAAACGTTATAGGCTAATGTCACTGAAGAAATTCATCAGAATTTCATCGTTTAATAAAATGATAATTATTTCTTTGTTTGAATATTTATAATGAAAATAAAAACATATTTTGTTACAGATGAATAATCAGTAAAGTAAAAATATAACAATATCTGCAAACAAAATAATACAACATACCAGAACAGCCATCAACGCTGTGGCAGGACAATGTGTCGCAGGTGGCAGATTTCCATTGGTCATAGCAGTCACAAACATCGATGTCAACACAGATACCGTTACCTGAGCAATTGGCGACTCTATGACAAGTTGGAATGACGCTGCAATCTTCGCCTAGAAAGTTAAATGTTATTATTATTAAATAATAATAATAACAATAATAATAATAATAATAATAATAATAATAATAATAATAATAACATTATTATTATTATTATTGATATTGTTATTGTTATTTCTATGGTTATTGTTATTATTATTAATATTATTTAGCTTGGTCTCGCACATTTTCATTGATTTCAAATTAAATATTTTCACTCATATCTTGATGACTGCAAGCTTCCTCAAACTTTCTAGAACCGTTCTGACGCTTACTTATCTTGCCAATGGCCTGTATAAATACGTCTCAGTCTTCTTAAAATTTTCTTGAACTACACCATTACCAAAATAAATGACCATTGTTTATTTTCTAATATTTTCTATTTCTTGAATTACTCGATGAAAACACCAATGACAACCCACGACAATCCTAAGATTTAATTCTAGTGGGTCCTTCTGGTGTTGGATCCCCAATTCTTTTATGAAGAGTACTGCGTCCTTTGCATACGAGACAGACGGCTTAAACGTTTCATTAAAGTTACGGCACGTTTTTTACGCTTGCATTTGAGTCATCCAACTCATACACAAGAAAAGCAGAGAATGAAATTGAACCAGATGCCAAAGGTTAGAAATTACAAATATCCATGGATCCATGGTATACCTTTATGACGGATCCAGTTGCCGTTAAATGTCAACGATTAATCCGGGCACACAGAATGGCTACACCATTTTCTCCAACTGACCTAGTAAGTTGCTATAATAACCATCAAGTTACAGCTCACTCATTTTTCTATATGACCAAGACCAAAATGTATTTTCATTAACTCACCTGTAAATCCTTTGTTGCATAAACAGACATCTGTTTGAATACACGTGCCATGCTCTTCATCTGTACAATTATTAATGCCAAAACAAGTGGCTGAAGAAATAAAAGGGTTAATGCTACTTCCCTTCTTATGCTTTTAATAATCTATTTGAACGAGATGATAACAATGACGTATTATTTCTTGGAAATATCATAAGATGATACTCTTAAAATGTATTGTTATTAAACTTCAGATCATGTGTCTAGAGTTAGCACTAAAACTATTAGGTTGTCTTGACGCTTTAGCAAAACTGATTATAAAAATTGTCATTAGAAACATAATTAAAGCACTACTTTTTCGTACCAAAATCTTCACATGTATCTCCTTCCCAACCTACATTACATCGACAGAAACCGGACACACACTCGCCATTTAAGCATTTCGAAATACATAAACCTAGATGAAAGATAATAAAGTTCATCAAAAGATTATTCCAACGTATAACGGTTTCATTCCACTTGGGAAAAATTGTAAAAAATAAAAAAAATAAATCAAGTTTGTATGATTTGAGGGATTTTTCAATATTGAATTAAGTTACCATTTCTACAGTCTTCACCAGACCACCCAGGCAAACATTCACACGTGTTGTTGACACAAGTTCCTCGGCCAGAACACTGGTAAGGACAGCCTGAAAATGAAAGATTGAAAAATTAATGAAGTCAATCAAAGTAATGAGAATAATGACAACCACAATGTTTCTAATCATGATAGTGATGGCAATGACGATAACCATAACGATTACAATAATAATGAAAAATAATAAAATTGCAATAACAATACCGAAATAAAAAAATATTAAAAGTCTTACATTTGATAATAATTATTATGATTATACAACGCTAGTACTACTATTAAAATATTTATAATAACAATAATAAAAAAAAATAATAATAATATTCATAATAATCATAATATTAGTAACTATTATCATATCATTAGGCATATCATTGTGATTGTTTTTCTTAATACTATTGTCATTAATATAAATATCATAAAAATTAATAATAGTTTTACTATAATCGTAATAATTTAAATAATAAAAATAATAATTATTATTATATTCTTCATTAATGTTTTCATTATCGCAGTTTCCCTCCGCAAAAATTAACTCTAAACTGTAATGTTTTGGTGATAGACGCAGCTTACCAGTTTGCAGCGTTTGCTGCGAGACAAATGACGTATCATTCGTTACTGCAATATCGTAAACACAGGAGGCAATCAATACTTTGTTTTCCTTTGTATCTGGTATTGCTTTGAGACAAACATCTTTTGCTATCTGAATTGTATTAAATCAAATATAAAAATAATCAAATAAACGTTTTCAAAACAGACAGTAAAAAATGGACAAGGAAAAAATTATCTTTCATTTATACGCATTTTGAAAAAAAAATTGTAACAAAAAAAAATACAATGTGCACGCTATTCTATTCAAAATTAATGTCTATAATCCTGGTTCTTTATTAAGTTGAAGGGCCAAATTGTGTTTGGAGTTGAGTTTACGGGAAAAAGATAATCTCAGCAGAGTTGGAAGCCATCGTTTCACATCTGGGAGAAAATTTTTCCGCAAAGTATGCGGAAACTGAGAAATTTGTGTGGGGAAGCGTCATCAGTCTAACAGTCGTTAGTAAACTTTTGTCGGTCGCTTTGTTAATGTTATTGACCACAATAGAAAGGCCCACGCTTAGAATCGAGACATTGACGTTTTACGCATGTACACAGTGCACATGCAGAACATGCGAAATGTATTTTTTTTAACACTGTCTTTTGGTACAACAATTTTGTATTATCCTTGTAAATTTGGATATTATCCTTGTAACTTTGGTAATTAACAATGTAATTGATTACAATACAAATAAAGAAAAAGTCACAGTAAAAAGAAAAAAAAAAGAAAGAAACATAGAAGGACGGAACCTGGCGACACACTATTTGGTGCAATTCTAAGTATTAGTTAAATACTAATTAGCCTAACAATGATCAGAACAAAACAGACAGAACTTGGCGGCACAGGGCTGTTTATTACCTTTATGTTATTACTTAAGTAATGTTTTACGATCAAACCCAATAGACGTGATTGTAAAATAACTTAAATTTAGTTGTGTTTACATCTGAAATATAACAATGACTTCTTCTATAATGGGTCTCAAATCATGTATCAGGACTCATTAAAATTCTAACACGTATATGACATACAGTCTATATTTCTGTTTACAATGTTTATTTTAGATCTGTCTGGAGTAGACCCTACGTCTACATCATTAAGCGTTTTTTGTTCTTGTTTGTAGCACACAGTAAGGAATAGGAAGACTAAAGGAAAATAATATTTGGTGCTATTTATTACATTGATGGCCTATGTCATCCTCCTCATCTTTAAACCACACCCGTGCACATTACCCATTGTTGTCTTTGTTTTATTTTGAAACGTATTCATCGAATGTTCAATATCTTTTAAATAATTGTTTTGCCTCGACGACCAAATTAAATTGGGTGCGGGCCACACCGGCTGCGGCAGAAGGTAAGAAAATTGTCTATATATTAGTGAGTTTCCTAAATAAAGTTTAGGTATTACGAAATTTAGTAGAGAACTACACGTATACCTAATGCATGTACTCTACCTTCACGATGTCTTGTTGAACCTCATCTGTACTGTAGATAGGTTTGTATTTCTTGGTATACGAATCATCCAGCTCATCATTCATATGGAAATTAGAAGAATTCCACGACCAAGAATCATATAAACCACCATTAGCATTTGACCTCTCAATTTTCCCTACAAATGACGGGTTATAAATATAAAAAAATCGACAATTGAAGGTGTTATCAACATTTGAGGCAAATACCAATGTTATTAACAAAAAAAATATAACGTTAATCTTACATGTTTCAACGAAATCCGTTACATTATCATGATGATACAGGACGCCATCTAATCCCACAAAATCATTGTCCGGATCATCATTCATGAAGCCGCATAGACCATCCGTTTCATCGACAAAGCTGATAGTCGGTGCGAGTATTGTGTTAAAGTACAGTCTTCCAATCTTCTTACTAAATTGCACCTCGATTCCAACAGACACACCTTTTGACATTTGTGAAATCAAGTTTATAAATAATTGTAAATGTTGAACATTGTTATAAAAATTGTCAAAATTATTTTTGTTTAAACTTGATGCTGTGCACTTTTCTGTATGTATGCTTTTACCATCTTCCACATTATCATTCTTACATACTAAATTTTATAAAATGTAAAGCCCTTTATTTTCGAAGCCTTATGTTTTCGCGATTTTACAGTTTGAAATATTTTGCAGCTTTTATTGTCGCGATAATACAATTTTAGTCATTTTTAACATGATGCAAAAGCCTACCATTGTGTTTTCAGCCTTTATTATAGCTAGAGTATCCGATTTTGGGTGGGATTCTCTTGATTTTATGCTAGTTACATAGGAAAGCGTACTGCAGTTACTCCATGGCTTCAGCAGCCTGCATTTGAGCGGCTTCTGTAAATTACTTTTGAATTGCATGCGTAATAGTAAAGTGACACATCAGGAAGTGAATTCCTTCTACCAGGAAAGTTCACATGTGACACATAAGCCTATCATTTTGTTATACAAAAGAAATAACATCGAATTGTTTCGAAAAATTTTGTAATACTTAATTATAAATGGATTGGAAATATGGGTATTTTAGAGAAATAAAATGCTGTAATTTTTATTCCATTTATGGTAGGCATAGCCTTAGCTAGGAAAATAGACCACACACGGCTCTACTTTGTCTGGCTCTGTGAAGTGTGATGTAGGGCCTATAATGGCCTAGACAAGTAACCTTAATATTTTCAGAATAAGAATGTAATATTAGTATATAATTTTAATTTAAACAAAGAATCAACATTTCCACAAAACCGTTATTGATGAAACATCAGTTTTATATTTAGCTAAAGCTTTGCTTTTGAAGTCAAAAGTGCAATTCAGAATTTCGCGATTTTCATGCGCCCTTTTTTTTCGGAATTCCCGTGCTCATTTTCTATATTAATTTTGTTAAACTTCAATTTGTATTTTATCTTTCGCAATTTGCAGATTGACATTAAAGTATTTGTATTTTGCCCTTAACTTACGTGATTGTCGTTTTATCGCAAAATCACAGGAAATAAGGGCAAGCGAAAATATAAGGCTTTTCATGTTGAAACATTACAATCATTTGTAGTCTTATGAGCACACTTAGTGCAGTCACGCAAGAAATGTATGTCGAAATGTTTACTTTAACGCACAGTATGTTAAATCAATATGTAAATAAACAAAAAGTTCATTTGCATAAGTATATGGATGGTAAATGTCTCTATGTGTCTGATATGTGCCTGATATTTGTACTAGGTTTGTTTTTTGTATCAAACTACTCATTTCTCAGGTTTCGAACGTTCTGAACATTTTCGGGACATAGATTATTATGTTATTGTATACCTGATTTGTACTCAAATGACAGCATCATAGTCGGATTAGTTGAAGAATCTCCATTTCTCAGTGGTATTTGGACATCCAGGAGTACTGAAGAATTTTCCAATTGAAGTTTCATCTCGCTACTTATATCCAATATTTCTCCATCAAGCCTAATATTAAACATAAACAAATATGCCACAACATAAATAATTTAACCCAATGGATTAAGATATCTTTTGTGCCGTCGGGGAAGAATAACTGTCAAGAAATAAAAATATAAATTGAGTGATGAAATGAGTAACAAGAAGTTAGAAGACTAACATAAAATTGAAAATAAATGTCATGGTTCGAATACCTCGCTGTGCAAGTCTCTTGTATAATTGGAAAATTAACGACCCAAAAGTATAACCCTATTCCTAAATTAGGAGCATAACTTAAGTGGATACGTATTAGGATCTAATACCAAGCGCTTATTCTATCCACTTATCCGCATGTTCTCAATAGGGTTCCATAAGTGTTTAATCCAGTGAACGGGGATAATAATCAAAGCGCATAGAGTCGGTTTATTGCAATTATGTACTATATAAATGTCGCATTATTATAAGCCGATCGCTGATATACTAATCAATAGGTTTTTTGTAAATCATTACACTGTCTTCTACAGTTTTTTATTTTTTTTATTTTTTTTACGGGTTGCATTGTGCGCAGTGTCGTCGCTGACGCAATCTTGAAGGCTCCCTGTTCCGACCGACCCATCAGCACTACCAAAATTGGCATTATTGGGTAGCAATTGTATGGAAACCAAGCTGAAATAGAATCACGCACCTTGCGTAAAAACAATAAAATGATAAGGTTTTTTTTTTTGGTTTTTTTTTACCGCAGTATTGGCAATGTTTCATAGTCTGCCTCCTTTGGTGTAGTAACCGTTATGACGTGTTTCCCAAGTTTCATTGCAATGCCACCAGTCAAAGATGATTTATGACTTTCATAGAATCTTGCTTGTATCCCAAAATCATTCTCGATGCTGCGACAGCTCCAAAACTCACCGCTTCCATAGTAGTCGTAGTCAACACCTGAATGTTTAAAATAAAGTTGTGATTGTATTTCACTGAAAATAGGACAACTGTATTGAGTGAAATGAAACGCCTTGTCCAGATTTGTTCTTTCACGTGACAAAGTTTGCAGCACCAATACAAGTTCATAGATAAATTCATGGATAAATTTAGTATTTGGACTCAAATTTAATAATAACCGTGTCGCTGTTTTTTTTTAGTTTAAAAAACAAAATATTACCGTCTAAGGTGAGAAAATGTGGGTCACCAAAGACTCTAGCTGGTTGCCTTATCTCACAACATGTGCCTCCCCAACTTCTATTACACAGACATCTTGATCTACAGGTACCCGGAACTGAGGAACAGATACCATTTCCAGAACAACCTAACCAATAAAATATAAATATAAAAATATTGTAAATATGTTAACACTTTAAACATTGTAAAATTGAATATTATATAATATAATGTATCCCAACAACATTATCATCTTTACAATTATCATCGAAAATTATCAAGCAACATAGTTTTGAGATCAGATATCACTGCTGCGTAATAATTAATTGGAAATCAGATAC